CAGAGCGGAGTTTAGGGCTGTTGTACATAGGGTCGCTATGAGTCGCAGGCAACTCGACGGCACATAACAACAACAACATAATAAATTTAATAATTTTTCAGCAATTAATTCCTTATTTTTGAACTATATTGCAAAATCTTAGCTACTACATTGACTATATAATCAGAAAGAAATGCCTCTTGCATTTACCTCAAGGACGCAATGGCAAAAGACAGACACAGAGAAAGACCAAACACATGTTTTGTTTTTTAAAAAAGGCTGCATGTCTTACTTGGTCTTACTTTCACTATTTTGGACCAAACTTTCACTATTAGAAAACATGTTACATTTATGTTCCCACAGTTTTAGATATTAAGTGCAATTCTTCACAGTTTTTAAGTAATAAAATATTAAAAGCAAATATGGGAAGCAAAGTTTAAAAATAAAGTCAGCATTGACTACCGTACAGTAGAAAGGTGGAGTAAAATGTGCTGCCTCTGTGGCTCATCTCAAAGAAATGCTTTTACTCAGAGACAAGCACTTCTGACCTAACTAAGGAAACTGCCCCTGCAGGACCAGACAGACCTATCAAATGAATTTCAGCTGCAAGGTGAAAGTATTTATAAGCTACATATGGAATATGGCTAATTCTAATAAAAACTGAGTGCTGGTCTAAATTTACATATCTAGCTTTTTCCTTTTAAATAAATACAACTTTTATTGTAGCAGGTATTTGAAAATAGTTTTTTATGTGCTTTTTATAGTCAATGTATAGAAATTTGAAATTAAAAGTGAATAAATTTAAAATTTCAGTTTGACTTAATTCTGTGGAAAGGTCAGTTACCTAAACATGAGGTAAATTTTGGCTTAATAAAAAATCAACTACAGTTATAGTTAATTATTTCATGTTTTTTGTTCTGGGCCGTTGAGTCACCTGAAATTCATAGTAACCCAATGTTGCAATAGCCCTAAACCCTGCTTTATCCTGTGCCAATCTTCTTGTCTCTAACACTCCCACCCCCCATTTCCCCAGTCACCAAATCAGTTCATCTCATCAAGGGTGTTCCTTTCCTGTGCTGTCCCTCCACCCTCCCAAGCATGTCCTTTCTGAGGACTGGTCCTATCTTGTAACATGTTCAGAGTAAGTCAGATGAGGCTTTAGAATCCTTGCCTCCAAGGAGCAGCCTGTTCTCACCCTTTCTAGGATGAACCTGTTTGTTTTCCTAGCAGTCCACGGTATATTCAGTACTCTTCTCCAGCATCACAGCTCAAAGGCATCAATTCTTCTATCGTCCCTCGTCATAGAATATGCAAAATCCTAATGCCTTTCTCCAGAGTTTACAACTTCATGTGTCAACTATCATATATCAAAAAGCCTTAAATATTTTTTGTGCTTTTACATCCGATTACACTGGGAAACACTGGGGGGAAATAAACTTAGAAAAATTTAGTTTTAGTAAAAAGAAGACAAAGTACTCATAAACGCAAATGGAACTTAAGACCAGTTTTTAAGATTTCTAACTTCTAAATAAACATACACACTTACTTAGCTAAAAAATATTTTGGTAGCAAATTAGATTGACTAAATGTTTTATGTAACTAAAGAATACAAATTTCCATTTATGGTCTTTGTAGCTGACATTTCTTTAAAAAACACATATAGCCAGCTAACTTTTCCAAAACATATGTTGTACTAAAAGATGACTGCTAAAAATCAGCTGTAGCTAAATGAGTTTTTAGGACTTTTCATGACACAAGAAATCTCTTAAATAGAGCTTCAGTATCATTAGTATTAATAAAAGTTACAGAAGAGATTATTTCTGTACTTTTCCTCATAAACACCACCAAATGTTGTTGTGGTTATTTTCCCTTTAGCTAATGTCATTTCCCCCCTACATTTATAAAGTTTTTATTCAGCAGAGAATGAATTTAAAAATCTTTTATGTAAGAAATAGAAGTATTTAAATGTGTAGCTTCACATTATACTATGCCATTTTACCTTTATTTCCCGAACACAAAAGAATATATATTTTTGTAAGAAATGAAATAAGATGTCCACATAAAAAAAATTAGGTTTACAAAAACGTTCCAGAGCTAAAAACAATTATTTGTATGGCGCAAAGTGATCTACTAGTCCACAGTCCCAACTTTTTCAGTGTAGCTCATTTATATATCAGTTTTTTCAATAGAATACTACATTAATTGAGGTAAAATCACATTCTTTTTTATTCTTAAATATATATATGTTTATATGCACAGGTAGTTTTGTTTTTGTTGTTGGTGTACCATCGAGTCAGATCCTACTGGTACAGGAGGAGATTGCCCCTCCTTCTCCAGCAGAGCATCTGGTGAATTCAAACCACATTCAGGATTGTAGCACAGCTTCTTGCCACTAGGCCACCAGAGCTCCCTACAGATATTTTTATTCTAGTTATAAGAAATAAAAGACAATGTTAAATGTGAAAAAGATATCACTCAGTCAGATTTTGAATTATCAGTAAGGAAATGAGAGAAGAACTTTCCTTGGTTGTTCATAGCTTGATAAACCAGAAACAAAACAAAAAAAAAAACAACAAACCCTGCCACAACAACAAACAGCAATATTTTTACCCCCTCAGGAATGGAGCATCCCTTTTTGTCTTTTCTGACTTTGATTGTTCTGTGGCAACTAGCAGTAATTCCTGTTGGTGTAGATGCTTCATAGGGAAACATTTCCTTCGTGTCCCTTTTTGGTCTTGGGAATGGGAACAAAGGGATCTCAACCGGTCAGTCAGACAGACAGTTGTTCTCCAGACTTTCAGTGTAAAACTTCAGTCCTTTTAAGATCTCCTCATCTTCTTTCCTTTGGGATTCTTTGTAGCTTTGTGACTTTGAAGTGTTAGTTCTGGAAATGTGGTATGATTTGTTTATCTCCCGTCATGCTGCTATCTGATATTTTCCTTTACATCTGTTTTTTGATGGTAGTTCTTTGTGCAGGTACCTGTTGTGAACCTTATTTGTGTCACTGGCTCCCTGAATTGTGTCTGTGAGCTCAAAGGCATATGGGGTATCATTTTGTATTATGTTGTTTGAAGGTTTAGGGAGGGGACCATTGTGGGTTTTGTACAGTCTCTTCTGCTTAAATACATAATGTAGACATTCGGATTACTTCAGTGTAACACTTTGGTACAGAAAGAATTCTGTGAATGTGCTTCTCTAGAAAACTAGGGGTTAGAGCAAATATGTATATGGGTGTTTCTCTTTCTCTCCCTGCCAGAGAGTATTCAACTTTTCAGGATTAAATAGGATGCGGGACTATTTCTTAGTAATTTCATATCTGTCTGAGCTCCATTAGCTTTCTTCTGGTTTCTCTTTCTTAATCCTTAACCCATTCTGTTGAGACTCTCTTTGGTTTAGAGTGCAAAATTGATATACAAGCTCCTCATATCTTTACTGTTAAACTCTAACTTTGTCATTTAAAACTTAATACTGATTCTTGTGGGTTCTGCTGGTGTATGCCATCCATGATATCAGTGACGAAATGGGAAAGAGTTACCTTAATTCACATCTCAAAGTATGTTTCTTCTACAAATAAAAGTATATGGGAAAGTATAATTTTTTTTAGTTCTTTATTTAATTTTCCTTTTTAATACAATATGGGTATGCTTCTGATGTCAGATTGTAAACCCTTCAGTGTTGAGTGCTATTTTATATGTCTTAAGTGGTTAATCAGAAGATGCTCAGTAACTATTGGATATTTTGACATTTGGAATATTAAATTAAGCTTCCGTAATCAGATAAAAGGATGGAATTTATTAAGCATTGAGTCAAACTGATTAGCTCTCCTGATCAACTAAGATTGACCTGAAAAATAAAATAACTTGCTGTGTCAAATACAGATAAATTATCAAAACACTACTGTGTCTTTTTGTTCTTGTATACCATGGAATCGGAACCAACTCAGCTGACCCTTTAGCAGGTTTTCCGAGACAGTTAATCACCCAGCAAGAGATTGCCCATCTCTCTCCTATGGAACAGCTGGTGGATTTGAACTACATGCCTGGGGGTTGGCAGCCCAGTTCCTTACCACTAATGCTGCCAATGTCTGTTAGACACCAGAGCTGTGTCTTTTTTGTTGTTGTGTGCTGTTGAGTCAAAACCAACTTATTGTTGATCTTTAGCAGGTTTTCAAAGGCTGTTAATCGCAAGGGAGGAGATAGCTCCTGTGGATCAGCTGGTAAATTCAAACTGTGTGCTTCTGAGATTTCAGCACAGCTTCTTACCACTAGACCACCAGAGCTCCCTATGTCTTATAAGGAGACTTTATTAAATTTAAAGACAAAAACCTGCATTGCTGAAAATGTTCTTGTCTCTCCTGCTTTAGATCTTCTCAGAAGTTACCTCCAGGAAAAATAGCAATAAGTGATCATGACTCTGGTGTTGAAGATGAAGATTATTCTCCAAGACCAATTCCTAGTCCTCATCCAGTGAATCAGAAGGTATCATTGATCTTTTAATGAACATATCTTTGTGGGGAGGAGCCTAAAATTTTATTCATGTCTGCACTAATTTAACGGGTTTTCTGTAAGTTATGTATTGTAGAGCTGATTCTGACTCATAACAACACTACAGGCGATAGTAGACTGCCCCCATAGAGTTTCCAAAGCTGTAATGTGTGTGGAAGCAGACTCCCACACCTTTCTCCTGTGCAACTGGTTGTGGGTTCTCACTATCAGCCCTTCAGTTCTAAGTCAAGTGCTCAGTCACTGCACTAATAGGGCTCCTTATTCTAAACTGTTACTGTTAGGGGCTATGGAGTTGTTACATCTGATGTATAGCAAACATATGTACAACTTTGTCCAGTCCTGTGCCATCTTCACAATCTCAGCTCTGCTTTAAAACTCATTATTCCAGTCACTGAGTCAAACCATCAAATTGAGGGATATATCTAGCTGTGTGGTTGTTTCGTAACATCAAATAGGAACTGACCTTTAGCTGACCCTCTGGCGGGTTTTCAGAGGTAGTTAATCACACGAGAGGAGTTTGCCCATCTTTCTTCCTCAGAGCAGCTGGTGGATTCAAACTGCATGCCTTTGGGATTTCAGCTTCTTGTTAGTGAGCCACCAGCGCTCCCTAGCTATATATCTCTACATATTTGTATCTTTATATGTGGGTCTATGTCTCATACTTATGAATATTTTGACACAAACATACAGACACATAAATATTTCTATGTACACTTTACAAGATATAAGATGTATTTATAATTTTATTTCCAGAGAAAACTGAGGCACATAATTGGTTAAGTTACTTGCCCAGGATCACACAGCTTTTAAGCTGTGCTTCTACAGCAGGAGATACGGTTTTAGAATCTCGTATTTTATTGATTTCACATGCAAGCAAGATTCTGGTGAAGAGTATCCAAAAATGACTGGAACAGCACATCAACAGAGAACTGCCTGAAGTACAGGCAGGGTTTAGAAGAGGCCATGGCATTAGGGTTTGTAGCTAATGTCAGGTGGATCTTGGCTGAAAGCAGGGATTACCAGAGAATTGTCTATATGTTTCATTGACTATGGAAAGGCTTTTGACTGTATGGTTCACAACAAACTGTGGCTGCCTCTGAGATGAATGGGAAACCTGGAACACTTCATTGTGCTTATGCAAAGCTTATACTTGGACGATGAGACATTAATCAGAACAGAGCAAGGAAACACCGCATGGTTCAAAATCAGAAAGGGTATATGCCAGGGATGTGTCATAGCTCCATACCTTTTCAATCTATATGCCGAACAGATTATCTGAGAGGCTGGGCTTTATGAGAAATTGGCATCAGGATTGGAGGAAGACACATCAACAATCTGCATTATGCATACAAACCTGCTTCCTGAAACTGAGGAGGACCTGCTTGCTGAAGAAGGTCAAAGACTGCAGAGCCTTGAATATGTATTGAAGCTCAACATCAAGAAGACAAAGATTCTCACCACTGGGCCAATTGGCAGTATCATGATAGTGAAGAGATTGAGATTGTTAACAGCTTTAGTTTTCTTAACTCCACAGTCAACACTCTTGGTATCAGCAGCCATGAAATTTAAAGACAAATTGCATTGGAGAAAGTTTGCTGTCAGAGACAGCAAAGTACTGAAGAACAACAATGTTAGTACGGTGACTAAGGTGTGCCTGATCCAGGCCATAGTCTTTGCAGTTATTTGCTATGCATCAGAGAGCTGGACAATGACTAGGGGATGATAGAAGGAGAATTGATGCTTTTGAGCTGTGGAGCTGGAGAAGAGTATTGAATATACCATGAACTTCTAGGAGAACAAGCAGGTTCAGCTGAGAGAGGGTAAGACCAGGTTGCTCCTTGGAGGCAAGGATTCTGAAGCTTGATCTGACATATTTTGAACATATTGCAAGGTGGGGCCAGTCCTTGGAGAGGGACATCATGCTTGGGAGGGTGGAGGGATAGCGAAGAGAGAAAGACCATCAAAGAGATGGATTGATTCAGTGACTGAGTTAATGGGGGTAGGTGTGTCAGAGACAAAAAGATTGGCACAGAATAGAGCAGAGTTTAAGGCTATTGTACATGGTTTCACAATGAGTCACAGGCGACTTGAACGGCATATAACAAAAAAACAATCGTTCTACTGTCAGAGAACTCTTTAAAGTTAAACTAAAAAGCAAAAACTTCATTTTAAAGATTAAGATGTGCCTGATCAAAGTCAGGGTATTTTATATTGCTTCATATACATTTGAAATCAATAAAGAAGACCTTAAAAGAATCTATGCCTTGGAATTGTGTTGGTAAAGATTGTTGAGTATTCCATGGATGGTCTGCCAAAAGAACAAACAAGTTTGTTTTGGAGGAAGTGCATCCCAGATACTCCCTAAAGGCCAGGACAGTGAAACTTCAGCTCACATACAAGTTGTCAAGAAGGGTCAGTCCTTGGAAAAGGCATCTTGTTTGGAAAAGTAAGTGGACAGAGAAAGAAAGCAAGATCATCAAGGAGATGAATGGACACAGTGACTGCAGCAGTGGGCCTGAGCATGGCAGGGACTGTGAGGATGGTGCAGGACAGGGCAGGGTTCCATCTCTTGTTAATAGGATCGCTATGGGTCAGGGTCACAGTTGACCAAATAACACATAACAGCTAACTAAGGGTTTGTTTAGAATTTTTGTTTGTCTTAATTAGAATACTAGTAATTTATTATTTTAGAAGAAAAGCAATTGGGATGTTAACAAGGAAATAATGTCAAATTACAACCTATATCATCAGAGCAGTAATGTTTATTCTTTTCTGCTTTCTTCAAACTTATTGGTTGATGACAATGGAAGGGATGGCAGTGAATAGCATCACTTAGTAGAGAATTTTTAAGATCCTTTGTTATTTAAAGTACAGACGCATACTCTGTTGGATTGGTTGAAGCGCTCTACCTGTGATTGTAGTTTTACAGAGAGAATTAAAAAAAAAGTTTATTGTCTGAGACAGCTTTCTATATTTTTTTAAGATACTTAAGGATACTTCAGTGTCTTTTTTTTTATTTCAGTGTCTTGATAAAAGGAGTTCCATCATTAAAAATGTTTGGAAAGTACTTGGTTATGTTCTTAGAAACCAAGGACCCTTTTACTTATTTGCTTAGAATTGTAATCCTAGTGTAGCTACCACAAAGAAATGTCAGAAATATTTGTTAGTTGTGTAAATATAGACAAGAATAAATACTTCTTTAATGAGTATGTAGATGTAATCTGAGAAATGTTAGTCTGAGGAAAATGAGGCATATGTCTTTCTCCTAAAATTATTTTTTTCTCTTTAATTTCTTTTTTCCATTTCTAGATCTCTAAGATCGAGCCATTAGTTCCTGAACTTTCACTGGTGTTGGATGGCAATTTTACAGACTCCAACCCTCTACCTAATCCACTGGAATTGATAAATAATGAAAATCCTCTGTTAATTAATCAGCCTGAACACTTGGAGTCAATGCAACTCCAACCTTGTGATGAGAAGCACAGCCCAGATGCTGAAGCTGAAGGAAAGCTTTCCATGAGAGGGCTACCAAATCAGTTAAACCAAGGCACTGCTTCTTTGAGACACTACAAAGATAGACAGCTGCCTACTTATAAGAAAGAGAACACTTACATCAGGAACAGCGTTAAATCATCTTCTCTTGATGACTTGTCATCCAATACATCTGAAAAGTTTCAAGCATTTTCTACTGAACAGTTTAAAAGAGAAGAGTGTCCTCCTATAAGATCCTCCACATTTAATTCTGGGCAGCTCGCTTTTGCCCCAAAATCTCACCTACACAATTTTGTGTTTTCATCTCATAATTCTGGAATACCAATGGAACTTCAGATACCTACTCCCCAACCACCATCTTACTATACTACAAATGTTTGCAGTTGTTGTCAACATCATGGCCATATTCAGTATAGTCCAATACATTCTTGGCAAGCGATGAATACAGCAGGATCTGTTAAGGATCTCCAATGTGAAGTCCTTCAAAAACATTCATTGTTTCATCCAAATGGATGTCCAGCTATGCATCATAATGCAGTCTATTCTTCAAGTAGTCCTATAGCTGTGAGGCCTCAAGGAATTCTAGGTGGTGGTTCTCACAGCAGTGCAGAACCCTCCGCTATGGCAAGACTGCCTTCACACATAGACTCATGTAACTCATCACCTTGTGCAATGTGCATGCATACTTCCAAGGATGGATCAGATAATGGAATGATGGGACTATCTCCAGATGCTTATAGATTCCTCACAGAACAAGACAGACAGCTTAGACTACTTCAGGCTCAGGTTTGGAACTTTTTAATTTAGATTATGTTGCAGTATTCTTGGTGTAACATAGCTGCTTAAAAGGAAACTGACAACTCTTCAGTGATCGCATTCTATAGCATGAAATTGTGAGCAGTCTACTAGAAGGGACCTGGAAACATAATCCTAACATCTCTTGTTTTATAGATGAGTCAGATGAAGATCAGAGAGACAAAATAGTTTACCCAACACCAGACTGCTAGTTAGGAATAGAGCCAGGACTAAAAGGCCTGGCTTCTTTTTTTGGTGCCAATCATAACCTACAACACCATAACTGCAATTTTTTTTTTGTTTTCATTTTCTCCCTTTAATGGAAAGTGTATAATTTACTAAACTTTTTTTATAATTTTTTAATTAATGTTTTAACAAAAGTTCACAGAAAACTTGAATTTCCATTCATTCATTGTTGCACATTGTCCTCCCAACTAAACCTTCATTGTTGTTAAGTGCTGTCGAGTCGTAGAAGACTCATAGCGACCCTATGAACAAGAGACCTGAGCACTGTTCATAGAGTTTCTGGAGGCAAGCCATTTCAGAAGTGGATGCCATTCCTGCTTCCAAGCTTGTTTTTACTGGGAAGCTCCACCAAACACTGTCCACCATGAGTAACCATTATCGCATTTGACACATCAGTGTCACAGTGTTTAGCATCACAGCAACCAAGAGTTACCTCTGTACAGCAATGCACAGACCAGTGCTATACCACTTAGAAGAATCTTTGACAAAAAACAATTTAAACCAGACCTGAGGGCTGCAGATTAAAATCACCCACCTTGGGCTTGGTAGCATAACTTTCTGTCCACTATGCCAACGTAGCTCTTACTGTGTTGTTATTGTTGATAAGGGCTGTCGAATCGTAGACACTCTTAGCGACCCTATGAATGAAAGACCTGAACGCTTTTATAACTTTGGTCATTTCTCCATGTTCATAAGAGTTTCTGGAGGCAAGCCATTTCAGGAGTGGATGCCACTCCTGCTTCCAAGCTTGTTTTAATCGGCAAGCTCCACCAAACACTGTCCACCATGGGTGACCATTATCACATTTGGCACATCAGTGTCACAGTGTTTAGCATCACAGCATAAAAATGACACGGGGTAGGATAGGGGTCAGATCTGCTGTTACTATGAGTTACTATGAGTCCTACCTGACTCGACAGCACTTAACAACAGAGCAGAGGTCATATATTTTCAAGTTATAGACCCGGCTGAACTCATTTACTGGAGAAGGCACACACAATGTATGCACAGGTTTGCATCCACTTTCAAGAGATTTTTCTGCCTCACATCACTCTTAAGTCTACTTTTTACCCAAGATTAAGAAAAAGGCTAATAACAATAATAAATTAGTAACTGAAGTCTTACTAAATACAAAGTGCTGTGCGCATAATAATAAAACAATTTTATTTAATCTTCACAATCTTTGAGGTAGGTACTATAATTATGTATCTTCCTACTTTTTTTTAATGAGTAAAGTATAGCACAAATTAACTATCCGGTGTGTCTAATTTTTAAGTAGAATAACCAAGATTTAAAACTGATTAGACTTGTACTTCCTAGGAAATAAATCTGCAGTATGAAGTAGTACAGATTTGGCTTTAAAGTCACTGTTACTAGGTGCCATCAAGTCACCTGCGACTCATAGCAACCATATGTGCAGTAGTCCTGAACTCGCCTTATTCTGACAGTGGGTTTTGATAGAACTCTGATTGATAAACCCTGTAGTAAATTGTCATAATCAATTTAAGAGAATAGTTCTTTAATTTTTTCTGTTATTCTCATTTTGTTCTAGGATATTTTTGTTCCTCAGTGCGTTTACTGCAGAATCCTTAGATTTTGGGGCTTTTATTCTTGCACAGAATTTTAGTCTATGTGTATTGTGTCTTTTTTTTCTTACTAGCACTCTTTCCTTACCTACTTATCCAGATCAACTGCTTTTCCCTCTTTCCTTACCTACTTATCCAGATCAACTGCTTTTCCCTTTACCCCAATACCAATATGAACAACCTACAATATACTTTTTTCCCCATGATCTTGTAAATAATATACATGTGAGAAATACATATATGTGTGTATATATGCATACATACATACATTTTTGTTGATTTAAAAAAATCTTCATTTTATAAAATTCTTTGCATTTTACAGATAAAAGCAATGGCATTTTTGCTTTAGAATTCTTCAAATATGAACATTAATTACAAATTAGCTTTATTTTTTTCATAACAAACAAAATATTTTTTTCATAACAAAATATTTTTTGGTAACAAAATATGTTTTTAGCTTTATTTTTAAATCCAGCAAAATTCTTTGAAATTTTCAAATAGAACTTAGATTTTAGCCAATCATTATAAATATTTAGCAGACATTAAATGTAACTAGTTTTTTTTCTCATTAAAAAGAATAATTTTTACAATTTTCCCTGTTGTTAAAAAAGACCAAACTCAGTTCGAATCCACCAGATGCTCTGCTGGGGAAGGAGGAGCAATCTCCTCCTGTACCAGTCAGATCTGACTTGACGGTACACACACACAAAATAATAAAATAAAAATTAAAAAAAAAAAAAGACCAAACTAATAGAAACAGAAAAGAACATTAAGCATTTAAGAATCTTAGTTACTTAGCATTTGTATATATAAAATCTGCCATTAATGATTGTTAGTTTTATATAGATAGTTTGGTATTTTAATTTGCACAGTATTATGTGTAAAATAATCATTTCATTATTTGTTGCTCATATGTATTTTTCTTGTGAAATGTCTGTCATTTTTTTTTATCCATTAAGTCTTTTCCCAATTAATCTATAAGCTTTTTAAGTATGTTGCTTTCTTATTTTATATGTGGTATTTTTTAATAGTTTACCTTAAATATTTTTTGTTTAAGGAATTTGTGCAGAATATTCTAGTTTAGATATGGGTAAATTTATCAGTTATTTTCTTTCCAGAGTTTGTATTCTATACAAAGTCTTTTTTACCTTTAAGATTATAAAATATTAACTTTCTATCATCCTCTTCATCCAGGGTTTTTATTTCTTATTTTTATAGAAACAAATGTTAATCTCTTCTGGTCAGTTGGCTAGATAGTTTTCCTCTAGACTTTTTGGCATAACCTGGTGAGCACATAAAGGGCTCCATCTGTTTGTTGGCTCTTGTCAATTGGTATTCCATCAATTCTTAGGGCTTTACTTCTTGCCAGTGCAGCTTGGACTTAATTCTTCATCACCATTGGTTCTTGATTGGTTCTTGATCATAAGCTACTTCCTGAAATGCTTCCTTGTCAACCAATTCTTTTTGGTACATGTTCCTTTCATCTTCTTTGATACTTTCTGGATCATTCAGAATTTTGCCCCTGGCATTCTTCAGTACTACAACTTGAGACTTGAATTTGGTTTTAAGTTCTTTCAGCTTGAGAAATGCCGGGGAGTTCTCCCCTTTTTGTTTTCTAACTCAAGCTCTTCACTCATGTTGTAACTCTTTGCATTGTCTTCTCAGATTTCCCTTTTGAATCTTCTGTTAGTCTCCCTCACTTTGACAATCTTTCCCTTTGTTTTGGCCTCTAGGGCAAATTTTTGGCTCTAGTCATTGCAAAGACAGAGGATGAAGAAAAGACCAAAATGGATGTCAGAAGAGACTGAAAATTGCACTGGAGCACAGAGAAGCCAAAGCACAAGGAAGAATTCAAGATACTAAAGAGTTGAATAGAAGATTTCAAAAGGCAGCACGGGATGACATAGTAAAATATTACATTCAAATGTGCAAGGAGTTGGAGTCAGAAAATCAAAAGGGTCGAACTCGCTCAGCATTTCTTAAGCTCAAGGAACCGAAGAACAAATTCAAACCTTGAGTTGCTATAATCAGGGATGCTTTCGGCAGAATATTATATGATCCAGAAAGTATTAAAAGAACATGGAAAGATTATACTGATTCACTGTATCGGAAGGAATTGGCAGACACGGAAGAATTCCATGAAACAACATATGAGCAAGAGCCTATGGTGATGAAAGAAGGTTAGGCTGCTTTGAAGGAAATGGCAAAAAATAAGGCCCCAGGAATAGATGATATACCAATTGACATATTTCAGCTAAGAGATGCTGCCTTGGATGTGCTCACCAAGTTGTGCCAAGAAATCTGGAGAACAACCACTTGGCCAGCTGACTGGAAGAGATCTATATTTGTTCCCATCCCAAAAAAAGGTGATCCAACAATGTGAAAACTATAGAACAATATCATTGATTTCACATGCAAGCAAGATTCTACTGAAGATTATCCAAAAACGACTGGAAAAGCACATCAGCAGAGAACTGCCAGAAGTCCAGGCTGGGTTTAGAAGGGGTCGTGGTGCTAGGGATATTGTAGCTAATGTAATATAATAATATAATTAATATAATATAATAAAGATGGATCTTGGCTGAAAGCAGGGACTACAAGAGGAATGTCTATGTTTCATTGACTATGTGAAGGTGTTTGACTGTGTGGATCATAACAAACTGTGGCTGACTCTAAGAAGAATGGGAATCCTAGAACACTTGATCATGTTAATGCGAAACCTATACTTGGACCAAGAAGCAGTCTTCAGAACAGAGCAAGGAAACATTGCATGGTTCAGGATCTGTCCTGTCTCCATACCTTTTCAACCTGTATGCAGAACAGATTATCCAGGAGGCTGAGCTCTATCAGGAGAAATGTGGGGTCAGAATTGGTGGAAGATTGATCAACAGTCTGCGTTATGCAGATGCCACAACCCTGCTTGCTGAAACTGATGAGGACCTGAAGTGCTTGCTGCAGAGGGTCAAGGACTGCAGCCTTCAGTATGTATTGAGGCTCAATGTCAAGAAGACAAAGATTCTTAACCACTGGACCAGTTGGCAGCATCAGGATGGATGGTGAAGAGATTGAGATTGTCACAGCTTTAGTTTTCTTGGCTCCACAGTTCAACACTCTCGGCACCAGTAGCCAGGACATTAAAAGACATATTGCTATGGGAAAATCTGCTGTTAGGGGCCTCTCCAAAGTACTGAAGAGCAATGGTGTCTCTCTGGAGACTAAGGTGTGTCTGATACAGGCCGTGGTCTTTGCAATCACTTGTTATACATCAGAGAGTTGGACAATGACCAGGGAGGATAGAAGGAGAATTGATGCCTTTGAGCTGTGGTGCTGGAGAAGAGTATTGAGGGTATCATGGACTGCTGGGAAAACAAACAGATTCATCCTGGAAAGGGTTAAACCGGGTGACTCCCTGGAGGCAAGGATTCTGAGGCTCTGTCTAACATACTTTGGACATGTTGTAAGGAGGGACCAGTCCTTGGAGAAGGACAGCGCAGGAGGGGAAGGCCCTCTATGAGGTGGATTGATTCAGTCACTGGGTTAATCGGGATGGGTGTATCAGACGGTGCGATTGGCACAGTACAGAGCAGAGGTTAGGGCTGTTGTACATAGTGTCGCTGTGAGTCCCAGGCGACTCAGCGGCACATAACAACAACAACAGTGCATTTCTCAGTCTCTTTTCACATCTATTTTGGGGGTTTTTTGCCCTGTCTTTAGTGAATGACCTTTTCCTTTCTTCATGGATATTGTCTCCACAACTCATCTGGTCTTCAATCATTAGTGCTCAAAGCCTCCAACCTATTTTTTATTATTTTTTTTTAAATTGTCATTCATTTTTGCATATTTTCTTGCCTCCCTCCCCCTTCACTTTGCAGTGCACCTTTAGGTGCAGATTGTTGTCATACACTTGTGCTTCCAAACCTGTCTTAAACTGGGAGCTCCACCAAACACTGTACACCATGGATAACTGTTATGGCATTTGATACCCCAATGGCATAAGCTTCAGCATTACGGTAACCCCAGTTTACCTCAGTACAGCATGTTGACAGAAGAGTGCTGTACAACTTAGAAGAAAGTTCCTTCAAAATATAATAACAACTGACAAAGGCCCTCCACAAGGTCTTGCTGACTCTAAACAAGAGGTTTAAATAAAAAACTACCAATATAGCAATACAATAATGATGTATAGATTCCCTTTTAATCGCATAATGAAAGTACCATGTAATTGCATCTGTTTCTGGGCTATATTATGCTCCATTAACCTACCTGTTTATTCTACCACCATTTGATTTTGTAGCTTTATAATTGAAATATTAAAAATAATGCAGTGTCCATTCCTTTTAATGGTGAAGATGGGAATATTGAGAGAGTGTGTGTAAATATATATAAAATGAGGTCTCTAATGGTTTTATTATTTATAAAATATTAATATTGCTAATAAATATATAATATTAACAAAATAATGAAAACTAGAAATAAAGGTAATAGATTAAGATACTTTTTTTAAAAAAAACAAACAGAGGGTAGATTGTTGTTAAGTGCTGTTTAGTCAGAATTGAATCATAACTGACTTTTTCAGAGACTGTAAATAATGGGAGGAGATTGCCGGTCTTCCAGGGAGCTGCTGGTGGGTTTGAACTAAATACCTTTGGGTTGAAAGCTCCACACCTTACCCTCTAAGCCACAAGAGCTCCATCAATTAATAGTAGATATTGAGTATATATATATAAGACTTTAATGAGTACTTTTCGGTATAATTTTTCTAACCCTCCATTTTCTCACCTGTAAAATAGGAGTACTTGTCTGTAAGTCTGGATAGAGCTACACTCCATAAGATTTTAGTGTCTGTAATCTATGACGATAGACCAGCAGATGGTTACTCCATAGTGCAACTAGATGCGTTTAAAGACCTAGTCTTTCCATTAGTAGCTGTGCACAAACTCTCAAAGACTTCATTATATATGAACCAAAAGTGGCATGATAGTTGGAAAAAAGATTGAAATTGTCAACTATTTCATCTTACTTGGATCCACAATCAGTTCCCTTGTTATCAGCACTCCAGAGATGTATTGCATTGGGAAAGTCTGCTGTCAGGGACCTCTCCAAATTATTGAGGAGCAGTCATGTCAGTTTGAAGACTAAGGTATTCATGAATCAGGCCATGGTCTTTTCAGTCACTTGCTATGCATCTGAAAGGATGCATCTGAATAAGGATGACAGAAGAAGAAATGTCTTTGAGTTTGTTGTTGGAAAAATAACTGAATATCCAATATGTACTTTTTGGACTGTCAAAAGAACAAACAGATCTGTCTTAGGAAAAGTGGAGCTAGAATTGTTCTTAGAGGCAAAGATGGAGAAGCTTCATCTACAATCTTTGGGCATGTTGTTAAAGAGAGGCTATTCCTTGGAAGAGGGATATGTTAAGAAAGGTGGAGGATCAGTGAAAGAGAGACTTTTAAAGAGATGGATTGACAACGGGAACAGCAGCAGTGGGCTCAATGTGTCAGAGATGGTGAGGACGGCACAGGATAGGATAGAGTTCAGATCTGTTCATAGGTCGCTATGAGTTGTACTCAGCGACACCTGACAACATTAGACCTATGCAGTTAAGTCAGTATCTGTATGATGTATCTAACAGTAATATTCCTGGAGTTATGAAGATCATACATTAAAGTTTATTATGTAGTATGTCACAAAGAATTCACTAAACGTTATCTGTTGGCGTGAATATTACTGGCACTTTCAACATGCCTAAACATAGACAAATTCTTTTTTAGCCTTTATAAGGTGAATCCAGTGTGAAATGTCTGGTGTGGAAAATCAGAGTATATCTGCAGTCTTACTTGTGTTTTAAAAAAAATTATTTTCATTTTAAATTTTTTTATTGTGGCTTGAATGAATGTTTACAAAGCAAATTAATTTTTTATTCAGTCATTCACAATTTTGTTCTGGGTTTTTTTCCTTCTGTTTTTTGTTTGGTTGTTTGGTTTTTTAATTTTGTTTTCTACTATTAATTACTATTCCCACAAAGTTAGTGCACTTTTTCATTTCCTCTCTATAGTTCTGAATACTATTAATCTTTATATACCTATTTCGTGTCTCCTCTCTATAATTCTTAATACTGTTAATTTTTATATATCTCTCTGGGTCTTCCCATTAGTAATCTTGCAGTGATCATGCCCTTATTGCATAATCCAGCTTTTCTGCAACCTTACTTTTCACTTTTAATTCAAATAGGAAATATTGGCTTGTAATGTTAATTGTTTAGGCTTTCTCTATGAATGCTGATTTATGAGTGCCAATCTAAATGCCTTTCTGTTTTCACTTTTAATACTTAGCACAAGCTACTACTTAGTGAAGTTGTATGCTGAAGAAGTGTCTTGGTATGCTTTAGTTGAAATGTGAGGAATTATAGTTAAAAGTTACATATACTTATTTGGAAAAACCTGTAATTAATTAAACTTGGCTGCCAATTTTGTTATGTTTTTTTCCTTGTGATTTGAGTGAAAAGTTACAAAGCTAATTGATTTTCCATTCAACCATTCAGGCCTATTCTGTCTTAAAAGACTAATACAATGTAATTATACTCTTTCCATTTCTTCCCTGTAATTCTTATTTCCATTAATCCTTCTATTTTGCCTTTCAGCATATGTTGCTTTTTTTCACTCTATAAGTTTAGTCATTAGAATTTAGACTAAACTTCTTAGAAGAAGCCGTCTGGTTTATTTGGTCACCTACAATTTTTTTTAATTAATACAGATTCAGCGTTTACTAGAAGCACAGTCTCTGCAGCCCTGTTCACCCAAGACGGCCACTGCTGAAGATAGTGCACAACAAATGGACTTGGTCTCCCTCGATGCTCAGTCTTCTGGCTTACATGTGAGAAAAGGTGTAAGCATTGCTGTCAGTACAGGTAATTCTTTTTAATTCATAAGCAGTTTAAACTTTTTAAAAAGTTATTGTTAATTTTAATGAAAATTTACAGAGACTTTGGATTTCCATTCATTTGTTGCTGCACTTTTCTCCTGGCCCGGCTCTCCCTCCACCAGTAAATTCTTCTTTTTGAAAAGCAAAAGAAAGATTCTTTCATTGTTTTACAATCCCTCCCCCCAGGTCCACTCCACTATGCGGCCTTCATTTTGGACTTATGTCATGCCAAAAATACCTAATCACATATCCCTTTTAAACAATTTTCTCCCTCATCTTTTTCAATGCAGTATATATTATTTATCCCATCTTTTTCAGCAGTTACTTTTTAAATGCTTTTTTTTACATCTACTCTAAAATTTATATTGAAATTAGTGTATAGTTACCACTAGAACCAAAACCAATGTAATCAGAAGATAAGTCTCTAAGTTTTCTCATTGTGAAATGAAACCATATTTGAAGACAGACATAAGCACGATAGCATAATAGTGATTGCTACGTGCTATCCCCAGATTGGACTACCTCTAGCGTATAATAGAACTCATCAATAATTTGAGGAATCAAGAAAGATTTTGTGTGTGTCCGGATACTAACTTACACTCGAATTGAAGAATGAGAGAATAAATAGGGTAAAGAAAACAGTATGTACTCAGTAGAAAAACACAGAGTTCGGTGATTTGTCCACTTCGACTGGGATGATAAAGTATATCGTGCTAACATTCGTACATAATAGGTACACAAGAACTAATTCTTGATTGAAGTCAGTTATTCAGATGTTTGAACTGATTTATGAAAATTATTTCAAACAAGTTTTCCAACATGATTTTAGAACTCATGGATTTCTACTCTTATTACTATTTACATGCAAAGAAAGAAATATTACTTGTTCAACTAAATGGCTTTAAGAAGCCATTATTTTTTATACATATATTTTTTTACATTATTTTTTAGGCCTTTATTTTTATACTTAATTTCCTAATCCTAAATTCATGCTTCTCACATTCCACTTTCCAATCACTAGTGTCTGCTTACATCTGATCCTTCTCCTTTGTGTTTCCATATTTAAGGGCTCAGCGTCAGTTGCCGTATCTCCTCATCTAACTGCACTCTATTGTAAACAGGGTTTTCAAAAGCCTGTTATTTTGGAAGTGGAGGGTCAATCCTTCTTCCTACTCTGTCTTAATTCAGATTTAGAACATTATCTGAAGACAAGCACTTTACAGAAAGAAGCAGAAGAAAGACATTTCCTCAACTATAGAAGCAACCAATAGATTCCGTGTTGCTCTCCTCGCTTGGTATATGTGTCTTGACCCACCCATTTCCCTGCTTCACCAGCATCCCATTCCTCTCCTGCCTAAACCATTCAATACTTTTCTCTTGAGATTGTTAACAGCTTTAGTTTTCTTGGCTCCACAATCAACACTCTTGGTACCAGCATCCAGGAAATTAAAAGACAAATTACACTGGGAAAGTCTGCTTTCAGGGATCTCTCCAGTACTGAAGAACAATGATGTCATTCTGGAGACTAAGGTGTCCCTAATCCAGGCCATAGTCTTTGCAGTTATTTACTATGCGTCAGAAAGCTGGACAATGATTTGGGATGATAGAGAATTGATGCCTATGAGCTTTGGTACTGGAGAAGAGTATTGATTATACCATGGACTGCTAGGAGAACAAACAGATTCATTCTAGAGTGGATGAGACCAGGCTGCTCCTTGGAGGCAAGGATTCTGAGGCTTCATCTGACATACTTTAGACATGTTGCAAGGAGGGACCAGTCATTGGAGAGGGATGTCATGCTTGGGAGGGTGGAGGGACAGCTCAAGAGAGGAAGATCCTCAATGAGATGGATTGATTCAATGACTGCAGTAATGGGAGTGGATGTATCAGAGCCAGTAAGGTTGGCACAGGATAGAGCAAGATTCAGAGCTGTTGTATATAGGTCGCTATGAGTCGCTAGTGACTTGATGGCATATAACAATTTCCTAAAGGTGTGTACTTATATGTATACAGAAATAATATTTTGTATGTATGCAGGAAGAATAGCAGTATGTGGGAAGATTCTTCAAAATTGTCCCTACTTTTTTTTAAAATAAAAAAAGAAAAAGAATTCATGCTGCTGATGTTGTTGTTATGTTGATGTGTTGCTCCAGTTGTTTTTGGATCATTTTCAGCAGAATATTGTATGTATGATTTAAAACTACTACTTATGTATTTTCATAAAACTTCCCAAATGAGCCAACATATACTTGAACTTAACGTTTTTATTTTAACCATTTCTTTAAATCACTATATGTATAACACTGTTTTCTTAAATTATGGTATTCATAGCATTCATGATAAAAAAGATGATTCTGGGTGGTGTATAAATTAATATTTTCTATTTTCATATATACATATTCTTAGTATATAAAAATATTACCATATCAAATCTATTTCAAAAAATAATATTTCAGACCTATTATTGCTTTAATGATAATACCAAGTACAGTTTAAGGGAATTGATGTAAAGAAAAGGAATAAACAAAAATAGTATACACAACTCTAAATACTGTATAAGTGACTTACAAAGTTTGAGAAGATTTGATATATAATGTCAGAGAACTCAAATACTCATTGTTCTTGTGTGTATGTGTGAAAATTTACAAAGTGAAAGTTTATAAAGCATGTTGGGTTTTTTATTCAATTATTCATTCACATTTTTTCTTTATCTAAATTATAATACTTACACTACAATCACACTTTTCTACTTCTACCTATAATTCTCATTCCCATTAATCCTTCCAACTTGTGTCTTCCTCTTCCTGCCTTCTGGGCTTTATCCTCTCTTCTCAGATGTTGATGTCTGTGCTGCTGTTGTCCCCCTTTCCTCTGTTTGGCTAAAAGTTGAGCCACAAGGGGTAGATTTTGTTCCAGGTTTGAAGCTTGATAGTATCAAGGGTTCAACCAGTCTCTATGAGACCAATAAATCTGGCCTTTTTTATGCTTTGGGTTAGTATTTGTAAGAATTTGTTCTTTTAAAAATAACCACCAAGTATTTTTAAATACCTGCTGATAATAAACAACCCTGATGCATTCTGGCTGTTATTGTTGATATGTGTTGTCGAGTCAGAACTGACACATAGCTGACCCTCCAGTGGGTTTTCAGAGGTAGTTAATCGCACGGGAGGATATTACCCATCCTTCCCCAATGAACTTTGTTGGATTTGAACCACATGCCTTCAGAATTGCCATGCAGCTTTTTATCATCAGAGGCTATCAGAGCTCCCTTCCTGGGCATAGTCTCATTAATATGGATTTGGCAATGGAATCAGAGAGCCAAGGATATTGCATTTCTTACATATTCTTCTGATACTCAGAACAGTATTTTTCAATAACCTCTTTTCCACCCCAAATGATATTTAGAACTTTAATATGTAAAACAGATTATTTGAAAGCCCTTTGTCTTGAAGAGCCCAGAAAGACCTATTTTTTTACTCCCTCAGCTTTTTCTCTTTCAGTTAATTCTTCACCTACTTCTTGGTAGCACTTTGAAGAAATATAGTTTGTAAACAATTTCAGGTAATTTCCTTAAAGCATAATTGGTTTTACTTAAAGATTTGCCAGAAAAATTTTCAATAGTTGAATGCTTGTTTCAAAGTCTGCTCAAACATTTACTCTCCAGGTGCTAGCTTGTTCTGGAATGCAGCTGGTGATGGTCTAGAGCCTGAATCTCAGCTGAAGCAAGATGACACCAAAATTTCCAGTGAAGACATGAATTTTTCTGTTGAAATTAACAATGAAGTCACAAGTCTTCCAGGTAGTGCATCTTCATTAAAAGCAGTTGATATTCCCAGTTTTGAAGAGAGCAACAGTGCTGTGGAAGAAGAATTTAATCAACCTTCTGTATCCAAGTAAGGTCTCTTTGACTATCAATACTTCATCCTAATTCTTTTTTTCTTTTTAAATTCTAAAACTCACTTGGTCTTTGAACTCAGAAACTGTCTTCTAAATGATATTTTCATTGATGGCTTTGTCTGATGTGGTTCCTATGTAACTGACAATTCTGAGCCTTCTAGAATCACTTCCAGATAATCATCATTGAATAGAAACATACAAAGACTATTTCAGAAAATAACATGTCAACTCTAGAGATTCCAGTACATTCAACCTGAGAGGGATATGGGACCACAAATATTTATCCTTTTAGAAAGTATCCTAAGGGAGCTGTAATATTGTCATCTATAAGGAGCTGTACTGCTAACCAAACACTGTTGGAATCACTTTAGATTTAAAGAGAAGTCACAAAAATAGTACAGAAAAGTCATGTGTTCACTCCGCTTTCCCTACGGTTAACATCAGGAAATTAGCATTATATACTACTATAAATTAAGTTCAAGCACAATTCCAGTTATACCAGGTTTTCCACTAATTTTTTGTTGTTGTTGTTCCAGTATCCAATGTAGGATACTATGTCCATATAGTTGTTACACCTTCTTAATCGAGTCTGTAACAAGTCTGTCTTTGTTTTGGCATTTTACTTTGACATTTTTGAAGAGTACCAGTCAATTCTTCTGTATTATGTCTCTCAATTTAGAATTGTCTGATACTTTTTCATGATAAAATGTGTGGTTTGCATTTTTGGCGAGAATACCACAGAAATGGCAATGTCTCATCAGTGTATTATATCCGCTTGTATATAATTTCTTAGACATCATTAACCTTGATCATTTAATTAGGAGGTTGTCTTCCAGTTTTTTTCACTGTTATTTTGCCATTATGTTTATAAGCACCTTTATAGAGATGCTGTGACACTGTAAATATCTTTTAAAGCTCCTAAGAAATGGATTTCTTTATCTATCTTCACAACACTTAATAAAGTATTTGCTTAATGATGATTTTGTATTTTTCTTATTCCCTTTACATTTATAAATTAGAATTCCTTCTTCTCCCTGACATGCTTTTCTAAATTATTACTAATTTTAAAATATTTATAAATATAGAATCCTGGGTATTTGTTTTCTTCTATGAGTTATAATCTACCAATTTGTTACTCAGATTGTTCCAGTTATGACCATTGAACACTCTGTTTCATTAGGACATGTCTGCATCCTGTTTTTAGCTCATTTTTATATGATCCAGCCTTGTTTTGTATTTCCTCAGTCAAAGCCTTGGAATCAACAGAAATCAGGAATACTACTAAATATTTTGAGAATGATAGTTAGAACTCAAGATCTGGGCACATGTACACTCTGTATTCCTAGACAGCTAGGAACTATATATGCATGCTTACATGCATGAGTTGAAATATGCATATGCACATATCTAAAAATATGTGTGCATTAAAAGAATTGAATTCTGAACCTAATTCATTATCTCCTTTCCTTATTTATAATTTTTTCCCCAAAAGATACCTGACTCATCTACAGTACATTTACTTTGTTTACCCATAGTGTAACTTACAGAAGACTTACAGAGTCACTAATCTTCTCCCTTGAAGAAACAAATTAATGAAATAAAGTAATAGTGTCTGTAAGGTTCTTTTTTCTTTAGCCTTCTTTATTCAGACTGTTTTTGTTGTTATGCGTCATTGAGTCACTTGTGACTCATAGCAACCCTATGTACAGCAGCCCTAAACTCTGCTCTGTCTGTGCCAATCGCACTGTCTCGACACACCCATCCCAATTGCCTCAGTCTCAATCAATACACCTCATAAAGGGTCTTCCCTTCCTGTGCTATCCCTCCACCCTCCCAAGCATGATGTCACTATACAGACTAGTTTTCCAGTTATTTAAATTTGTTACTTCTTTTCTATTCTCTTCCTTGTGGTTAGGTTATGTTACTCATTTATAATACTATTAACTTTGTTTGTTACTGTTTGTATTTCATTTGCAGGGTGGGGAGGGGGGCTTTTAAGTCCTGGTTAACTTTATTTTCTAGAAGTATGAAATATTACTATGGTTCTAGAAATAAAGGTATATACTCTTAGGGAAGTAGCCTCCTTTTCTCATCCCTGCTACCCTATCACCACTCTCTTACCCATCCTCTTAGATAACCCATCTATTTAATTCTAATTCATCCTTCCTGTATTTTCTTAAAATCTTTTCTTTATTACATGAAGGGTAATGTAGTATAGATACATTTTAAAATTTACTCATCTCACTTCATAATAAGTGTTGGAAGCCCTAGGAAGCTACATAGTACTCCACTGGGAATCTGTACCACAATTTATTCATCCACTCTTCTATTTATGTTCTTTTCATTAAATTGTCATTACCAATGAGGGTAAGGTAGAGTACTATATAATATATATATATATATATTTTAAAGACTGCTAGGTTCAAAGAGAAATACATATGTAACTGGTTGAATATTGTCAGGTTTTCCTCTGAAAGAGTTGACAAGTTTGTAGCAATGTATGAGAGTACCTGTTTTCTCACCACCTGGCCAAAAGACCATTTTATCATAGTTTTAATATTTTTTTCCTGTCTGATTGGTAATTAATCTCAATGTTTTTAAAATTATAAAGAAGTTTGAAGACTTTTATATTTGAGGACCATTTTTATATCTTTTTGAATTGTTTATATCTTTTACCACTTTTCTATAGAGTTTTAGGATTTTTTACCTTTTTAAGAGTTGTTAACTCTTTCTGTGGTATATGTTGTGAATATTTTCCTTCCGGTGTATCAGTTATCTTTTCACTTGATTTATGATGCCCCCCCAATTGAAAATTTTTACTTTTATGTAATGTTTTGGTCTTTTCTCAGAATTCTATTTTGACGGGGTTTTTGTGGGTTTTTTTTAAATTATTTTTATGTGTGTACTGTCAAATCAGATTTGACTGGTACAGCCCCTCCTTCTCCAGCAGAGCATCTGGCAGATTTGAACCATGTACCTCTGGGATTGCAATGCAGCTTCTTGCCCTTAGGCCACCAGAGCTCCCTTATTTTGAATGGTATTTTACAAAGATTCCTTTCTGCTAATATTTTTTTTCCACGGCCTGGAATATCTTTTCTTTCCCGCGGTGAAGGTGGAATGTGATCCACAGGGCATCGTAGCTGAAGAGTCTGCTAATATTTTTGAGGCTAGTAATACCAACACTGTGCTTGGCATTTCAAATAAATAAAAATTAAACAATATGGAAAAAATTAGAAATAATTTAAGTATTAAAATTTTAAGTACTAGAAAAAATGTTTATTCTTTCAAGTTTAGGAGAAATTAACAGGTTGAGAGGTAGGTCTCAGCTTTAAGCAAAGCTGTCTAAATGTATAATAAATAAAACACAGTATCATGGTTTGGTTTCTGTGCAGCTTATCTCAATGGGATGCTTAGATAGCTTCACTAGGACCTGAAGATGAAAATCAGAACAGTGCTTGAGTCCTATCCTTATGTCATCACTACTTGTACTTAAAATATATATTAAAGATACCTTGAAAACTAACATCTGTCATTACTTCTTTTCAACAAGCTCCCCTCCGGTCGTGAGAAAAGGTCCTGATGTGCCTGTGTTCTTTCCGAATTCCCTGTTGGCAGAGAGTGTAAGCATGTGCTTACAGACTGGACCAACAGAGGGTGCTAAGAATAGCTCTGTGACATCCGGAGAAACAAAAATTGAGCAAGTGATGCAACCCTTGCCTCATCAATCATCTGATGACCAGAAAATTTACCAGGATTTGTTGGTAATTAAAGATGCAGAATGTTTCATCTTCTTAAGATGTTTACTTCATAGAGTGCACTTTCCTAGATTTAAACTTACGTGGATCTTGAGATAAAAAATATATTTGCCCAACTAGCAAAGTATTTCTTTAACTGTTTATATATTGTGATAAACTAAATTCACTAATTTATTTTAAGCATGCTTAGATACTTAGGTGGAGGTTGTGAGAGAGAAAGAAAGCCTTATACTCAAAATATAAGATGTGATATTGTGTCAAATACAGATTAAATTTAGTATCAGAAAAAAGAAAGCAAGAGTTTGTAAGTAAATTGGAAAATTGTGACTATTCATGGTAATATGTACTGATTTGAATTCGGTTAAGCAGAAGTTTATTGAATATCTTCATCTGAGAAACTGAACTTAGTAAACTGCATATTATAAAAATGGCAGCCTCTATCTTTAGGGATCCTACTAGAAAATAACACAGGGAACCATAATAATAAACAGTTACAGAGCAGGCCAACAGTTGCCTTAAAAGCAAAGGGAACACAAAAACCAGAAAGGGACCAGGCTGGTTGAAATTGTTTTCTTGGAAAACTTTAGATGTGAACTTAGATTTAAAGCTTGAATGGCTCTCATCCAGTATATAGACTTTGGAACATTTTATTTCTCCATTTGTAAAGAAAGCTAGTTAAATCTACTTAGTAGATTAATGGAGTAGTTAAATTTCTTAATTAAATTGCTTCTGTGTGTTTAACAAAAAAATGTATATTTTTTATTTGCCTGCTGGATCCTCAGCTGGTACAAGCAGTTATATGGGACCTAAGAGAAATTGGACATAACTTGTGACTATAGAGTGACTGTTACTGCCATTATTGTTCAGGGAATAAAATATGCTTTAATGGTAAGAAGGCATAGCTACTATCACAGGTCACTTTTGTTTTTAGAAAATCAGGAAATAAAGGTGCTCGGTTCTGCAGGTAACATAAAAATTTAATAACTCTGGACTGTATTATTTTTCAAATTACAACATGCTTTAAAGCTTTTATTTAGAAAGAATTTAGCAAATTCTTAAATACTGAGAGTGTTACTCAAATACTTTGAAATCTGATGGTTCTTAAATGAATGCATTCTCAACAAACATTTTAAGTTTCATCTAAAATCTTCATGAAATGATAGAACGTTCTCTACTGATGAAAACGTTCACTAGGGTGAACTTGTTTTACACAATGTTTATAATCCTTACAGATGTACTTGGTACTTTGTACAATTTGGCTAAATGATATATTTTGCTTTTCCCCAGCCATTTTTCTGTTTTTATTTTCTAAGATTATGAATGGTGACTTTTCAAATGTGCCCTTTTTATTTTCATTAGGGTCAAGTAAATCACCTTTTAAATAACTCTTCCAAAGAAACTGAACAGCCATCCACCAAAGCAGTAATCATCAGCCACGAATGTACCAGGACTCAAAATGTTTACCATACGAAGAAAAAAAAACATGATTCAGGGTTGATGGACAAAGATTGTGTTCTTAATGCAACCCTGAAGCAACTAAGAAGCCTTGGAGTAAAAATTGATTCTCCTTCTAAAGTTAATAAAAATGCCCATAAAGTGGATCATGCCAGGTAACTCTGCTTTAAAAGATGAATAAATTTTTTATGTCGCAGTCTCATAAGAAAAGATGTTTGCTTTCAGTTCACTTAATTCATCATATACTCGGGACTTCCTGTGTATCTAATAAAGAAGACATTATCTGTATACCCTTTAGATTATTCATTTCACAAGGATACAATATGTAAAAGTAATCAGGTATTGTAGAATGCCTCCTGGATAAAGTTGTCAACAAAAATGTTTGAAAGTTTTGGGGAAGAGAAATGAATTTTTACTGATGCTCTCTAAAAAGTCCTCTTGGAGATGATAGACTGTGTGCAGGTACTGGATGTATAGTTTTGGCATCCAAAAGGCAAAAATATTCCTTTAAGGATGTATTTTGAAGAGAATAGTTACATGAACTTAATATTCACCAGTTTAAATTGTGCATTTTTTCCCAATTTCTCTTTATCAAAGATAACCTCCCCACATACTTGTATAAAAAGCTAGTATATTTTTCTGTTGTTGTTTTCTAATTAGCATATATTATAGCATATATTTGTTGTTGTTTTCTAATCTAAAAAATACTACAATGCTCTCACCAAAAGAATGGCTGAGGCAGGAAAAGAAATTATTTCCTTTTGCTTTCCTGTTCTAGACTCAGCAAAAATTAAGAGTCTAAAAACAGGAAAGTTGCAGAGTGGATTATATTTGGGGGTAGGGGGTGGGGTTTGGGGAGGTGCGGGGGGATTGTGTACCAATGAGGGAGTTTTTCTTTTGCTTTTCAAGAAGAGGAGCAAACGGGGGGGGGGGTTGTGCGGGGAGAAGGGTGCAACAATGAATGAATGGAACTCCAAAATCTCTGTAGAGGTTCATTGAAATGAAAAATCAACAACCTAAATTTTAAAAAAACAAACAAAACAGGAAAGGTAGAGAGGCTCAGAGAAAGAGAGGACAACTCTCAACAAGATGAATTGATACAATAACTGCAACAGTGAACTTGAGCCGAGATAGAGATCTTGACAATGGTGCAAGATGGAGCAAGGTTCTAGATTGTTCATAAGGTTGTATGAGTCATAATCAACAGCAGCAGCAAGCCAAGAAAAGAGGATCCTAGACATCCTCAGAAATGATGGGGGGATAGAAATGAATTTAAGCTTTGGCGGCAGCATCTCCAAACAAAGTCACAATTAGAGAGACTTTTGAATCCAAAAACCTCTCAAGTCTATTGGTTGCTTCTGCGCCTGCTTCCTGGCTGTCCAGGAAAAACTCTATACTACTAACCTGGGTTCAAAGGGCTCAGTGAGTCAGTTTCATATTGAAGAGATTAAGAATAATTTTTTCCTTCTCATACTTTTTGGCACTTATGACCCTCCTTTTTTCATGTTTTTCTGGGTTTGAGCATGTCAGAGAGTGAGAGGATGGCGCAACATAGGCAAAGTGCAGATCTGTTCTTCAGATCACAGTGAATCATGTCAGCTCGGTGAGCTAACAACAGCCAACATTTTGGCTGCATAGCTAATGAGATTCTAACATGGTATATATATCTGCTGAGTAGTTTTAGGATTTGATTAGTAGAATGGCCTCCTTTTGGTTTTCATCATAGTTGCCTAGTGTTAAAATGCTTTGGCTTTGAGCCAAAAATGTATTTACACAAGGAAATGTAAAGAATCTTCTAAATTAATACTGAGTGCTTTTAGAGCCTTTAATCATGTCATAAAAGAATATACAGTAATACCAAGTTTGCTTTTAAAAACCTTAATATTTTTAATTTGCAGGTTTGATATTATTTTGTCCAATTTTTTTAATGTCCTATTATTTATTATTGTTGACCAGTGTTGATTTTCTTAACTGTCTTGACTACAACTATGGTTATGGTGAGGATTAAATAAGATTTTGCATATAAAGCTCTTAGAAAAGTTCCTAACACATTAATAAGGCTTCAGTAAGACTCAAACTGCAATTATTGTTCCTCTTATGTATGGAGCCTGTTGCATAAACATTTAAGCACTTAGTTACTAACCAAAAAGATGATGGTTGTAATCTGTCTTGAGGTACATTGGAAGAAAGATGACATCCATTGAACTAGAACACAGTTTACCCTGAAGTACAGTTTCTGCCAGTTGAAATCAACTCATTGGCAATTGGTTCAGATTTTTATTTTATTATTGTGTATATATAAAAGTATAAAGGAAAAAAGGCAAGTAGTTGTGTTAGTGCTAACCAAAGTGAGTTACAGTTTATATCGAATGAAAGCAGTTAGTGTGCAGCCCGTATCCAGAGACAGCAAATCAAATTACACATGCTCTTCAACAATATAGTTTTCTGAAATACTCACCAAAGCTTATAAAGTTAAATCATAAAACAGGGTTTGTTTGGGGTGGTTTTTTTTTTTAAAAAAAAAAAGTTTTTATATTGAACATGAGCTGGTGTTTTGTGCTGTTTTGGGCTAGCTGTAAATTAAATGACTCACAACAGTATTGATTATTTCCTATATTCAGGGCTCTAAGTTTGGTCTTAAAACTGTAACTAATGGAACTTGTTTTGTGTTTTCATTCTGAAAATCAGTGATTCCCTTCTAAGCTGTCACATTTATCCCTTGATAATCTAGATCTCAGGAATTTCATTTTTTAGTACTTTGATGAGAAGTACCGTGAAGCTTTTTTATTGCCTTCACAGAATATAACATATTTAGATTAATACTATTTGGTTATTAGTACGGTAAGTCATGGTATCCTGCTTTGTGTTTTTCAGTGTGCTGGCATGCATCAGTCCTGAAGCCGTGATCTCTGGATTAAACTACATGTCATTCGCTAATGTTGGCATGAGTGGTTTAAGCCCCAGTGGTGCAGATCTGAGCATGGAGGCGAATGCTATAGCTCTGAAATACTTAAATGAAAATCAGCTATCACAACTGTCTCTCACTCGATCAAACCAAAATAACTGTGACCCATCCTTTAGCCTTTTGCATATTAATACAGACAAAAGTGCAATGGGGCTCAGTTTAATTTCACCAAACAACATGTCATTTGCAACCAAAAAATACATGAAGAGATATGGACTCATACAAAGCAGTGACAACAGTGAAGATGAAGAGGAGCCACCAGACAACACAGATAGCAAGGATGGACAGCTATTAAACCAAAACCTTGCATCTATATCTAAGCAGAGTTTTTGTCAGAAAGAACCTTCTAGGAATGCCTGTGAAAGAATCAATTGTTACAAGTCTGAATCTGTGGACATTCGCCCAGATGTGCCAGTACTGAAAAATATTACAAATGAAGTGGCCCAACAGAAGGCAACACAGCAATCACATGAAAATCCACCTTTCATTTTAAAGCACCTTAAACCAAGTCCTACAGTGAACCTTCGAACTGGTAAAGCAGAATTTACTCGACATCCTGAGAAAGAAAATAAAAAAGACACTCGAGTTTTTCCTGAAAGTTTGCAACCTTCTGAAACTTCAAAGCAGATGAATAGCATGAATTCAGTTGGCACATTCTTAGATGTAAAACAACTCAGACAGCTGCCAAAATTATTTTAAACTTTTAATTCAGTGTTCCTTAATATGGAAACATAGAAATGAAGTGTCTCTTGAAGATGCTTGAAGAAGCCACAGACTTTTGGAATTTTTAATTATTCTGGCAGTCAGTCTGTTTCAGTGGTATCAGCTGACTGCAATGAACAAATGACTGGAGGGCTCAGTGCTCTTCTGATATAACTACTCATGTCACTGAAACTTTTTAAAAAGCCCTGAGATCAGCTACTAAAGCAAATTTGGTTATGTAGACACTGTCCAACTCAGAATCTAAGTAACTATTTTGTACTTCACATTTTAAAAAGCGTATTTGTTTCCCAGCATGTTATATGTATATATACCTCTGCAATTATCCACTATCACTAAAGAGAACATAAAATAACATTATCATGACCATAACTAAATTAGCAAAATCAAACCCCTCACTGAGTTTATGTGAAATGTTTGTTTTTGTTTTCATAAGATTTTTTATACAAAACTTATATATCCTCTTTATTTGTTAAACGCACTACAAGTAAAATTTTTGTGGACTAATGTGCCTTTCACCTCTTCAACATACAACATACAGCACTAGTTATTACAGAATAAAGTTACTGGATATAAAAGTGTTTTATAACTGTATTTTTTAAAATATGTGATATTCGGGAAAGCTACCGCGCGCAGCAGGGCCGCCATGAGCCCCGGCCCGCGAGAAGCCGGCCCTCCCCGCCATCCATCCCCCCCTTCTCTCCCTCCGCCCTGGCTAGGCGCCACCCGCGGGTCAGACCGGCTTACCTTCTCATCTTTATTCATGTAGGTTGCCCATCCTTTGAAGATTGAGTTTTGAAAAACAAGCTGGTGGTATAGCACTGGTCTGTGCGTTGCTGTACAGAGGTAACTTGTGGTTGCTGTGATGCTGAAGCCTGTGACAGTGATGTGCCAATCGTGGTAATGGGCACCCATGGTGGACAGTGTTGACTGGAGCTTCCCGACTAAATCAAGCCTGGAAGCAGGAGCGGCGTCCACTTCCAAAATGGCTTGCCTCCGGAAACTCTTATGTACGAACAGTGCTCAGGCTGTTCGTTCATAGGGTCGCTATGAGTCGTCTACGACTCGACGGCATTAAACAACAAACAACAACAATTGTGATATTTTTAATAGAACATAATTAAAAATGCCTAGGATGAGTTTGGGGGTTTTTTTCCCTGTGCTACCACATATTCTTCCCCCTGTCGTTTTTTTTTTTTTTTAACTTTTTTAGATTCACAAGAAATTAGAGTACAGAGAATTTGCTTGTGCCCTTGACCTAACATACTGATGCCAGAGTAAGTTTTGATTTTTATCAGTTTTCACATGAATTTTTATTTATTGCATTTTGGTGTACAGTTCTATGACATTTTATCATTTGTTGTGGCTTTAACCATCACCACAATCAGAATACACTTTCAACACCACAGAGAAATTCATGTTACCCCTTTAAAAGTATACACTCTCTCCCGTCCTAATTCTTGACAATAATCTGGGTTTTTTGTTGTTTTGAGGATGTTACATAGTAAATTAATACAGTACATGTTCTTCACTATCAAGTTGGAGCCTATTCATAGCTGACCCTCCAGCAGATTTTCAGAAATAATAACATTGGAGATTTTCCATCTTTGATGGAGCAGCTGGTGGATTAAAACCTCTGGCCTTCAGGTTGGCAACACAACTAACTTCTTACCCAGTAGGCCACCAGAGCTCCCTTAATATGTTATGTGCCGCTGAGTTGCCTGCAACTCCTAGTGACCCTATGAACATCAGCTCTAAAGCCTACCCTGTCCTGAGCTGACTCCAACACACCTACCCCCATTGCCCGAGATACTATATCAACTCATCTCATTTGGGGTCTTCCTCTTCTGTGCTGTACCTCCACCCTTCGAGCATGATATCCTCCAAGGATTGGCCCCTCCTGGACACATGCCCAAAATATATGAAACAGCTTAAAAGTCTTCATTTCACCTTCTCCAAGACAGACTTATTTGTTTTCTTGGCAGTCCATGGTATGTTCAAGATTGTTCTCCAGCACCACAACTCAAAGGCATTGATTCTTCTGTCATCCTTAGTCATTGTCTAGTGCTCTGATGCACTGCCAGTAATTGTGAAGACCATGGCCTGGATCAGGCACACTTTAGTCTCTAGACTGACATTGTTGCTTCTCAGTACCCTGCAGAGGTTCCTGACAGCAGATTTTCTCAATGCAGTTCATCTTAATGATTTCCTGACTTCTGGTGCCAAGAGTGTTGGTGAGAGTGAAGCCAAACAAGCTGTAATTGTTAATAACCTCAATCTCTTCTCCATCCATCATGGTGCTGCAAGTTGACCCAGTGGTGAGAATCTTTGTCTTCTTGATAAGGAACTTCAATCCTTCACATTTTCCTCAGATTTGGTAAGCGAGGATGTGTCATTGCATAAAGTAGGTTGTTGATGACCTTTCCTCCAATCATGAGCCACATTCCACCTCATAAAGCCCAGCCTCCTGAATGATCTGAAAGGGTGTAGAGACAGGACGCATCCCCGACGCACTCATTTCCTAATTTTGAACTATGCAGTGTTTTCCTTGCTCTTCTGAGGACTGTTTCCTGGTATAGGTTTCACATGAGCACAATTAAATGGTCTGGGATTCCCATTCTCAATGTTAGCCACAATTTGTTGTGATCCACACAGTCAAATGCCTTGGCATACTGAAGGGAACTCCTAGGAACCCTTATGGTATAGTGTATTGGTTACATGTTGAACTGATAACAAAAAGCTTGATAATTTGAATCCACAAACTTGCATGGGGGAAAGATGAGTCAGTCTCCTGTTAAGATTTAAAGCCTTGGAAAACATGGTGCAGGGTGGTGGGTATATGGAGTTACGTTACTTTTTTTAATGGCCTTCTTGTCACTCAGCATGATATGCTTGAATTGTTACGTTATGTCAAAGTTTATCTTTTGTAATTTATGAATATTAGTGCAAAAAGTCCTCTTTCCCTTGAGAAAAATCTTTTCTACTGAAGTTACGTTAAGATGTTGTTCCTTTGTATCAAAATTTGGATGTATTTATTTGTATCAAAATGTGATACTTAAACTGGGAAGAAATGGACTTTGGATCTTTAATTTTCTAAAAAAGTTGTGTCCATCTGAGACAATGATACAGCAAATATATAGATAGCAAGCCAGATTGGCTTTCTACTGGTGCCCAAGTTCACTTTTCTAAAAATGAACTATTTCTTAAAGCAATTTCAGTTTTAGATATCAAGAAAGTAAAACTTCTAATAGGCCTATCAATGCCATTTGCAGTGTACTGTTTAACCCTAAGTGCTTCACCCAAGAAGCAAGTATAGGCACGATGTGTTACCATGTCTAATTTAAGGCTCCTGATAAAAAGCTAAGAAGTTTTAGACTGAAATTAGATTGTAGATTTATTCCAGAAAATACACTTATTTCTACTAAGCAAATGTCCAGAAAGGAGAAACCTTTCACTGAAGTCTACTCAAGGAAGTTCTCTAGAAGCTATTTGCTTCTAAACTGGTAATTCTCTGAAATACTTTCATCCACTGCCACAGCATATTGTTTGTGAGATACAAGATTCAAAACAATAGGGAAATTAAACTTCTGTTATCCACCCTCTGCAGAGCCCATTTACCTGGGTCCTGGCTATTTAGCAACATCCTTTACTCCTACCCTCTGAAGTCAAATCTCCCATCACTCATCCTCTAAACCCCTTACTGTTGTTAAGTGCCGTCAAGTCGTAGACAATTCATAGGAACCCTATGAACGAAAGACCTGAACACTTGGGGTTTTTTTTTCCTTAAGAGAATTTTAAATTTATTTTTCCCCCATTTGTTCATTGTTGCACTTTTCTTCCCTCCCAGCCCTCCCCTCTAGTACACTACCCTCTTGGAAAAGTAAAAGAAAAATTCTTTCATTGCTTTACAATCCCTCCCCCCGCCAGGTCCACTCCACTATACAGCCTTCGCTCTGGACTCCTGTCATGATAAAAATACCTAATAATTTTCCCTCTTAAACAGTTTTCTCCTTCATTTGTTTCAATGCAGTATACATTATTGAACTCATCCTTTTCAGTCTCCTCCCAACCCCGAGGTCAGTCCTGCTTTACAACAGTGGCACCATGTAGTATTTGTCCTTTTTTGACTGAGATACTTCACTCAGCATAATGTCCACCAGGGTCACCCATTTTGAATAATAATGCATGAGTTCCTTGTTTTTCAATGCCGCATAGTATTGTGTGACTATACCACAGCTTCTGTATCCATTCGTTTGTTGATGGGCACTTAGGTTATTTCCAACTCCTTGCTATTGTGAACAAAGCCGTGATAAACATGGGTGTGCATATATCTGCTTGGATGTCAATTATGGTCTCTTTGGGGTATATTCCCAGTAGTGGAATTGCTGGGCCAAATGGTATCTCTGTTTGCAAATTTTTGAGAAAGCGCCATAACACCTTCCACAGTGGTTGCACCATTTTACACTCCCACCAACAGTGAATAAGTGTTCCAGTTTCTCCACAACCTCGTCATCATTTGTTGCTTGCTGTTCTGTTAAATTTTGCTATTCTTACTGGGGTAAGATGATATATAGTTGTTTTAATAAGACCTGAACACTTTTATAATGTTCTTCGTTTCTCCAAGTTTATAGGGTTTCCGGAGGCAAGCTATTATTTCATTTCAGAAACCCCTTAATGGCTAATTTAAATCAATTGTTCTCAGCTAACATGTCCTTGTCTTACCCTGCTGTCCTATGCCAGGCCTCACAGAAATAGGATGTAGATTTGTTGGTTGTAGTTGTTAGGTGCCGTCAAGTTGAGTATGACTCATAATCCTATGAACAAAAGATCTGAACCTGTTCTATCCTGTGCCATCCTCACACATTAGAGCCCATTGCAGCAGTCACCATGTCAATCTACCTGGTTGAGGGTCTTCCTCCTTTGCCAACCCTCCACCCTTCCCAGCATCATGTCCTCCTCCAAGGAAAAGCTCCTCCTAA